CAGCTATGAAGTAGCAACAAAAATAATTTTATTGTTGGGGGTCACCATAACATGAGGAACTGTTCTAAAGGATCACAGCATTAGAAGAACCACTGCTTTGGAGTTTATGATTCCCTGCAGAGAAGTCCACGTTTGCCTCGCAACTTAGCCTGGCGAGGAGCTGTCCAGGTGCTGACTGACACCGCCCTCCTTCCCAGCCTCCTGCTGAAGTTTCTTTCTTCCTCCTCGCCTCCGCCCCCACCCCACCCCCAGCATATTTGACTCCACCCAGGGCCTGTATACAAAACTATTCCTTGTAACTTTCTCCGGAATCAAAATCGAGAGATATCTTCATTTTGCGGATGGGCTCCCCTGACCTTGAAACTGTTTTAGAAGCAATCATTGAGTTACCAAGGGGACGACGCAGGAGAGCAGAAGCTGAACAGCTGGCCTTTGAGCAAGCAGGGAGCTCAGCTCTGAGAACATGGAGAACAGCCGTGCTGGGAACAAGAGCTGCTGTGGCAGTCACCAGGTGGGAGTGCGGGCACCAATGTCATCACCCGGGTCCACAGGATCCTGCCTGGAGAATAAGGGAGAGCGTGTTCCCAAGCAAGAAAGGAAATCGCTGCTTTTCCTGCTGGGCCTGGAGCCTCAGCAAGGCACTTGCTGGGCTGTGGGAAGGGGAGGGGTGGGTGGCTGGGAGGGAGCATAGAAAACAGCTCAGACTGGCTGATGGAAAAATGGAGGGATGTGGCTGGGTCTGAAAGAACAGGGGGCAAGGGAGAATATACCAGTGTCTCTGTAGAACACGTGCCATACCCAGACCAGCAAAGTTAAGTGCAGGAAGAAAAGGAAGCCACTTACAGAGGGGGGGGGGGAAGAGCTGGAGAGCAAATAGCAAAGCCTGACATTCCAGGTCCCCACCTGCCAGCCTCTCCCCTCCCCCCTTCCCCCTCCTCCACTCCTCCTCCTCCTCTCCCTCCTCCTCCTCCTTCTTCCTCATGAGTCTCTTATAGTTTAGGATGGCCTCAAATTTGCTATGTGCCCGAGGATGACCTTGAACTCCTGAACTAATCTTCCTGCCTCCACTCCCTAAGTGGTTGGATTATTGATCTTCACCATTATACCTGATTTGTGTGGTGCTAGAAATCAAACTGAGACTGTGCATGCCAGGCAAGCACTCTACCAACTGGACTACATCACCAGCCCTGGACTTTGGCTTCTTGAAGCTACCCTTTAAGCCCTGTGGCCAATCATCCTGTCATCCCCAGCTGTCCCTGCTTGCCCAGTCTGAGCTGTGTGACTCAGAAGAGCTCCCCGACTCTCCTGTTACGATCCGCTCTTGGGACCCGGGGCCTTGTCGCTGAAAGCAGCCTGAAGATTCTGGCTTTTGCTCTCTCCTTCAGCATGGGTGATGCCCGGATAAACAGAGCCTGAATTTGCCATTTTCCTTTGGGCATTGGAATCTGGCTGCCTCTGGGGAAATTTACCTCCAGTTCCCCACAGGCAGTGATGACATCTGAGCTGGCAGCTTTGCTTTAAGAATCAACCATGCTAACACAGAGAACACACTTAGTGTGTGATTTTCTTGAGTAATGACAGGGATTACAGGGTTAGCCATCAGCCCTCCATGAGGACGGGTAGACATTGTACCAGCCCCTGCCTGCTCTGCTCTTCTCACCTCCCCCGGGCCATCTTCCTTCTCCTCATGTCATCTCCAAAGACATAGATAGACATGTGTCCTCAAGTCACAGTTCTACAAACCTGGCCTGCATCTGCAGAGAAGCGTTGACTTCCTTTGTCCTTGATCCCGAAAGGGTGCCGCCACCTGTCCATCACTGACAGGTTCACATCTGTGGGGACCACCCCTGTGACCTAGAGTTTGGGTTCCCAGCCCAGCTCCTCGGTGCTCACTATGTAGCAATCAGCCCACAAGGCAAGGCAGGGGGCACCAGGACACACTCTGTGGAGGTAACAACCAGCTTGCCTTTTCTTGCCCATGGCATGTGTCTATCAAAAGTCATCCAGGAAGTTCAACTGCTCATTATCACATACAGGAACTCAGGAGACAGAAGACAGCATGTCTCCTGTCTCCATGATCCCAAAAGCAGAGAGAATCGGCTGACAGAGCAGACACCTGAAAGTGACACCTGTCACCATCTCCCCCTCCCTAGGGTCAGGGGGAGGCTGGACATATTCTTCCGCGTGTACGCAGAGCTCACCGGGCAAAGCTGACATGCACGTGTGGAGAGTGGCAGGGTGTTCCTAATTAAGACCTAATGTGTGGAAGCTCAGACTAGCTCAACTCAGCTGCCGATTCAGAGAAAGCTTGTGTTTCATGAAACTCCTCGCCCAACAGGGAATGCATGAATTATTGAAAGGATCGAAAAAAGAGAGCCAGGGAGGGAGATCTGCTCCATTATTCATCAGGCCCGGAGTCCCCAAGTCCCCAAGCACAGCTGCTGGCTTTCACACCTACAGCATTTTCCCATTATGTCGACATGAGCGTTTCCAGCCCGCTGTATTGGCAGCCTCTGAGCTGGCTTCCTCTCCTGCCGTTCAAGGCCTGTCCTCATCTGCAGCCAGCCCTGCCGAGCTATAGCTAGGGATGGAGACCCTGCTTAGAGCTGCCTCCCTTTCCGGCCCCAGCTCAGGGGTCCTCCAGCCTGAGGGCAAGACTCCTGAGAGGATCAGAAGGGCTTTTCCACAATCCCTGTCTGTGTCTAAAGCTGTTGCTTCTGTGCTAGCCACGCCCACCGGACCCTAGCTCATTTGCATTTCAAGCCTGAGTGAAATTGCCTACTCTCACTCAGACCTAGGTCCACACTGGCCACTCCCTCTGCTCCAGACTCTCTCTCTCTCTCTCTGCCCTCTGCCTACTACCGAAATGCTCCTCATCCCTACATGTCCAGATCTCAGGACTAGGAAGTAACTTTCATATGGGCCACATCAGGGGTCACGCCTCTTTACCCACCAGGTCTCAGAAGTATCCCAGTGGCCCAAGGAGTTCAAGATTCTCACCAGCTCTGCCTGCACAGGGAGGAGGGAGCCTGTGCAAAAAACGTCAGAGCCTCAAAGCCAAAAAGATTAAGAATTATGAGATGGGAAAGCTTATCGGTGAATACACCAAACAGCCTTCCTGAGAAGGCAGTTCAACTGTGCAAGCCATACCCTGATTATGCCAAAGTGAGGCTCAGAGAGGTTAACTAATTTGTCTGAGGTCACACAGCTAGTTAGGTGGCAGACTCAGGTTGAAGACCCCATTCCAGCAAACCCACATCCTTTCTCTCTCAACCAGCTAAGTCTTAGGGCCCACTGCTTTGGGCAGCAGAGCTGGGAAGGAGGCCATGAGCATTCCTGGGAACGCCCTTTGTAAAGAGTTTCATAGGAAAAAGAAAAAGTTGGGCATGGTGACACATGCCTTTAATCCCAGCTCAGAGCCAGAGGCAGGCAGATTTCTGTGAGTCTGAGGTCAGCCTGCTCTCACCATGTAGCCCTGGCTGTCCTGACACTCACTCTGTAGACCAGGCTGGCCTCGAACTCAGATCTTCTTTGTCTTTTCTTAGCGCGGGTCCGCAGCACCTGTAGTTTAGTTTGTTTAGTGATTATCTCCTTGGCAGTTTTAGTCTCTGGAAAATGTATCCAACTTTCAGTCATTCATTCAACAAACACCTCCCTCGCACCTGCTAAGTGCCAAGCCTTCTGCCTAAGCTCACGGTACAGTCAAGGAGACTGCCAGTCAACTTATCATTGCCACGCTGATGGGAGAAGGGCCCAGAGAAGAGGAGAAATGAATCCTTAGACCAGAGGGAGCATCACTAGTATGTGGTGCAGTTCATAGATGGCAGTGTCCACCCATGCTATCTGAATCAGGTGACCTTAGCCACCTAGGGCTTCCATACAGGTGGTGCTTCTGGTCTGGGGCGAATGCGTTCACTGCTGACGACTCAGCGGCTGACCACTACCAATACCTGTTTGGGCCAAGGAGACAGCTGAGCTGGTAAAATGGTGGTCCACACTTGCAGACCTGACATTAGGGAGACGGCAACGGGACAGTCTCTGAGGCTTGCTGGCTGGCCAGCCAGCCAAGCCAAACAGGGTCCCACTAAGAGACTCGAACCACACACACACACACACACACACACACACACACACACCACACACCCTCCCCATCTTGACCCACTTCATCGCCTGTAGGAACTTGACTGAGCTGCTGCTGGAAGCTCCCTGGGGCCTGGCTGGCTGGCCAAGACTCCATGCCTGCAGGGCATCCTTCCAGCTTGCAGCAAATGCCACTGTATGCAAGGCTCACGAACGTGTGGACAAAGGTATCAGCTGCCATGGCAGAGAAATGGAGAGGGGCAGATGTTCCAGCCAGAAAGTGAAATCTTGCATTTTCCCAGCCAACCTGGCTGGGTAACCCCTCACCACACGCCACACCGTGGCTCCAGTTGCAAATTGTCCAGGGCCCCATAAGCCTGTGAAATTAAGTTTGATGGTGCTAGGCGTAACCATGGAAGCCCTGTATGCCACTTAACAATTTAGAGAAGGAGAAAGTGCTTAACATCAGAGCCAGGAAGCTGTGAGCTGCAGATCTGGTTGGGTAGCTTGCCTTCAGGCACACATCTTGGATCCAAGTCTCCTCGTTAGCACCCATGAAATGGGACTGTTGTGAGAGTCAAACGACTGAGGACCTGAAAGGCGCTTTGACTAGTGCCTTGCCCTCAGGACTCAAACAACTGCCTGGGATTGGAGCGTTCTCTTCTCCATCAGTTGCAGCAGCTGGCACGGGAAGGTGGGTCTGACTCAAGGCAGGTGTTCTTGATCCAGAAAACCTCCCCTGTTCCACGACACCCTCCCTCAAGCTCTTCACCTAAAATCTCCACGAGGGTGCTTCCCCACCCCAAGGGTTCTCCCTTCAGTGGAAAACAGCATCCTTCAGTTTCAGTATCAAAGCCCACCCGCAACTGACAGCATAGGGCGGGCAGGCCCCGCCCCAGCCCCGCCCCAGACCCCGCCCTCTTCGAGTTCGGGGCTCAGCGGCGGCCACCTCCACGGTCGCTGGCGCAGAGCGGCTCAGGCGGACCGGACGGGGCGGGCGCCCGGCAGGCAGCGCAGTACCTTCCACCGCGCGCAGCCCGCCAGGGACCTTCCACGCGAGTCTGGGGTCGTGGCCGCGAGGTAAGAGCCAAGATGAGCCGGAGGCATAGGCTCTCTCCTTGTCGGGTGTCCGGGAAGCGACGATCTCCAGTGGTGCCACCGCCACTGCGTCGGGCTGGCCTCGTTACTGAGTAGCCAGGGGCAGGGTGGGGCGTGCACCGTGCCTCTGTGGGGTGTGTGTGTGTGTGTGTGTGTGTGTGTGTGTGTGTGTGTGTGTGTGTGTGTGTATGCAGGGGTTGGGGATCATGACGTCCCCTCTTTGCAGACGCTTCGGAGCAATTCGCCCACTCCAAAGCCAAAGCCACACTTTCCCATCAGACTTGAGTCGAACTGGAAGAAATGACCTGGTTGTGGGGAGCAGGAAGAGAGGGAAAGCCCACCGCCACCTGTTGAGCTGGGCCGTGAGTCTCTGAGGGCCAAACTCCCCAAGCTGTTGGTCTGTGATTGGACTCACTTCCCAGGGGTCTTACCCATCCACAAGTTACCTGTTCATCTTAGGACATCTGATCTGTCTATATTGCACTCATCCTGCCTGCCCCAGGCGACAGAAGTATGTCTGGAGAGGGTTGGTAGCTGGAAGGGACTTTGCCAAAAGCCCCAGAGCTGATAAGGCCCTGTGGTGGAAGAGCTTAAGACATGGGGATCCCTTCTATGCTTTGGGGAAATACCAAAGCCCAGGAGCACCCCCATTTCCCCTCAGCCGCTCCAAAGTGCCCCCTTTTAATGACTTGATCTCTTTACTGGAATTCTAGCTTGGCAATTGATGAAGCTGCAACATGTTAAGTCTTCTAAAGTGAAATCAAATCCTAGGGCTGAAAGGGATTAGAAACCATACTGAGTGCCTGGCTGAGAAGCCGTGTGTTGCAGAGGGAGTCCCTCTCAAGGCTGGCTCCCAGAGTGTTCAGAAACCTGAACACCTTTGTCGGCTCTGTGTCCGGGTTTTCCATATTCCCACCTTCTTCTTGCCACACAGAAGGCAAAAATCCAACCATTCCCAGCCTGGAGGCATCAGGGTTTTGTGACCTGGGAGAGGGCTTGGGGACATGGTAGCTGAACTGTTCACATACAGCTGGAAGAGACTGGCCTTAGTTTGTGATGGAAAACACAGACTCAAAGCCCAGTTGCTCACCCCCTGACAGCGTGGCATTAGGTAAGTCACAGAACCTCTTGGAGGCTCCGTTTCCTCCTCCTGTAAAGCCAGGCGTGAGAACAAAATAAGGTCACTAATGACAGTATCCACTCACAGAAATGTCCGGGGCTGCCTCAGCTTCCTCACACACTGGACTTGAGGATGGTGACCACGTAGTGAGGATGCCCATTAGTCCTCTGGTGTGAATGTCACAGCTTGAGAGCTCAGATTGAGTTTAGATTCCCACAGAGTGAGGATAAAGGAGCTGCAACTACGGAGCCCTGCTTCTAGGGGGAGCTATCACAGCCTCCCCAGGCTTTGGTCCATTCATTGCAGATTCCTGGGTCCTTGCCAGCTGCTCCTTTACCATGTGCCTGTCTGTCTGTCACCTCATCCTGAGTTTGATGTCAGTCTTACATGTTGCAGAACTAGGGACAGCTGCATGAGATTTGGAGTCACTAGTAAAGCCCCTGCTCACCAAATATCCATTTCTCCCCAAGTATAGCTGTCTGATGTTTAATACTCCATCATGAAAGATTCAGCCCTTTGGTCCACTGCCTTGTATCCCAGGTCAGCTACTAAACCTTCACAGCAATGACTTGCTTAGAGACTTTCAGGATCTTAAAGAAAAGAGGATGAGGACAGAAGAGCAGAAAGGGAAAGAGATGGGGGTGCCAGAGAGAAAAAATGGGGCTTTGCCAACTTTAGGGTCCCTAGAAAGAGACCCAGTAGCCTGGGAGAAAAGAGGGCTGGGCAGGCAGGTGGCAAGTGGTGGGCAGGGAAGGGCTGGACCTCGATTGGGATTCTCTGTGGGAACAGGAGGTGGGCGCCTGCCGAGGAAGCCAGGGTAGAGGGTGCTGACAGACTGAGGATGAGCGGCAGGGCTCTGTGGGAGGCGAGGAAGCCCCAAAGCAAAGCATCCGCCAGCCATGCGGTGTGTCTCTCCTCACACACAGCCCCAGCCCTGGAGACAGCTATGCAGCATTCTTGGAATCTGGAGCCTAGGCTGTGGTTCTGGCTATTTAAATTGTTAGTTAGGGGGCAGAAGAAGGACACCAGAGAAGAGCTTTCACCATGTGTGCCTTCCTAAGACACACACACACACACACACACACACACACACACACACACACACACACACACACACACCACTGTATCACCTCTCTGGAAAGAAGCAGAAACAGAGTAGTTCACCCACACCCAGTGTGGCTCCAGGGCTAATGGAGGCTGGAAGGACAGAGGGATCCCACTGGAGTCAGCCTGAATGGTTTGTGGGGTTCTGAGTGTGCCTATGCGGGGCATGCTGGAGAACGGGGGGAAGTCCCTGCTGAGAGAGCCCATGGGACAACCTCATTGGGGAGGGGTAGATGAGCATCACTTGACTCTGTGGACACCATGTCCTGCCACCATTGCAGTCCTGGCTTCTGATAGTCCAAAGGTGAGTGTTTGCAGCCCCTCCTCAGTGTGTCCAGAAGGCAGAGGTGCAACCAGAAAGGAAACGTAATGGGTCACTAATTTATCATAATGGCCTTGCATACCCAATGGACACCTTTTTTTGTTGTTTTTGTTTTCTAATAAAGCCCCAGGTCTCATGTACCTCAGGCTGGCCTTAAACTCTCCATGTAGCTGTGGATAACTTCGAACTCCTCATTCTAGCTCTAGCTCTCAAATGCTGGGATTATAGCCATGTACCACCATGCCTGGTTTATGCCATGCTGGGGACCAAGCTCATACATGGTAGGCAAGCACATTACCAACTGAGCTGAGCTACAACGCCAGCACAAGGGACAACCATTCTTATACATAATGTTGATGGTGGCAGTGTGTCTTTGTTCCTCCATATGAGCACCTCTCACTGAGCACCAAGGATGCTTGCGCCAACCGCTGAGCTAAGTGACGGGGGTGCTGTGGTGTCCTTGGCTTTGGGAGATGGGTAGTCTTACGTTTATTGGCAAGTAGGCTGACGTTGTATTGCAGGCTGCTCTCAGTCTCCACCAACTAGATACCAGGAACACCCACTCACTTACACACCTGGCTGTCCTCAGACATTGCCTGATATTCTCCGGGGATCAAGGCAGCCTGCAGTTGAGAATCACTAGAGATCTAGCTAAGAATAAACCAGGAAAAAAAAAAAAAAAAGTCCCGTTCCCTGAGGAGCAGCATTATGTGAAAGCAGCAAAAAGCAGCCAGCTTCCTGGCGAAAGTTACGGCAAGGCAGAGTGAGGCTGAAGAGTGTGGATGAGACGGGGCTGCCATTTTCAAAAGGGGCCTCACTCAGGAAAGGCCTGCCTGAGTAGGTGACATTTCAGCAGAGAGGGGAAAGGGGTTGGGGGGAGAGCAAGATGTGCAGAAATCTGGGGACCCACCTGTCAAGCAGCAGTGTCAGGGGAGAACTAAGGAGGAGGTGGTTGGGTTGGATGTGTGAATGGGGTTAGGGACAGATGGCTGGAGTCTGATAATTCTATCTCTGAGGACCTTGTGCTTTTGCTCTGAGCACTCACAGCCTGCTGAGTGCCAGCGCCATCTTGACTACAGTTAGCTAACGTTGACAGAGGCAAGTACTGTTCCATTACTCGGTTTTTCAATTGTGAAGAGTGAAGTCCAGAAGGGTGGAGGAACTTGGAAGAAGGTGCAGCAGGGCTGTGAGCATGGGCAGCCCACACTCTGGTCTCCTGCCACACTGCACTTCGGGGCTGTGCAGTTTGAGTTCCTCAGCTCTAGCCCTCAGCTCTAGCCCTCAGCTCTAGCCCTTCACTAAACTTCTCCCGGGCCTTATGTTTTCTCTGAGGATGGTGACCCCCACATGTCAGTGTTCACTGTGGATAGTGTTTATCCTTAGTGCTCAGATGCCCCATACCTGTCACCATGTACCTACCAGCCAGGAACCAGGAGGTAAGCGGCACCTCCTGCTCCTAGACAAATCTCTTGCTTTTGACTTTGCATGCAATACTGAACCAAACCGTGCCAGGGCTATCTGCTGAGGTCGAGACCAGTATCCCAGGAGGATGAGGGACGTGAGCCCAAGAATCAGAGATGCGAGAGGAAGCTAACACTGTGTGAGCCAGTGTCTCTCCAAGCCTGGCTCGCCATCTCCCTCTGCTTATGCTGGCCTGACCTCCCCTGCAAATGAGACTAGACTCAAAAGTAAAATGTTCTTCAGTGGAGCAGAGTCGATGAAGACCATCTCCCTCCCCTAGACTCTGTTGCCTCATGCAGAAGTCAGTGTCTCAATGAGCCCCCTGTGGGCCCTTATTTATTGATCAAGCAGTATATATGGGAAGCTGGGTCCTTCTTAAAAATAGAGGCTGAAAAAAATAGCTCAGAACTGGGAAAAGAGAAGCAGCTCACGGTGGCTACATGCAAATGACCTCCCAGGTCACCGCTAGGAAGTCATTGATGCTTTTCCCTGCCCACAGATCCCTGGATGAGGAAACAGGTAGAAGGGTGCCTGGAAGAGAGGCATCTGCCAGCCTGCTTGAGGGGCACCCAAGCTAATGAGAGACCCTTGTACAAGGAATTCACCTCCCTGCAGGCTGCAGTGAGGGTTACAGATGGGCATGAGGAATATCCTTGACTTTGGCGGAAAAACCTGGGTTATAGAGTTATCTGTACCCTCTGGTCTGTATTGTCCCTTCCAAGGATAGACCGTGTAGGAGCGCAGGTCTCTAGTGGTTCCATTAAGGGGAGGGAGTATAGAATGGTGTATCCTGGGAGCTAACACCGGGTACAAAGTCTAGTGAGTGTCCTGTCTGCTCAGCCTTTGGTGATGGACCGTACTGTCATGTCAGTGGCTACACCATCCTTCCCTTGGGAATGAAAACCTAGGCAGTCAATCATGAGCCCCTCCCCCACCATCCGTGCAGTGGACTCACCAGCATGTGGTCTGAAGTTC